AATTGGCACCAAGAACATTTCCAAAGAAAACTTCTTCTACAAGAGATGGATCAATGTTTGCCCTCTTTAGAGCACCTGAAGTTTTACATAGACGAAAGTAAGTAAATTAAAACTTTATGTGAGGAAAGATGAAAAAGAAGAAAGTTGAACTTACATTGAATTGCAATGGACCCAAGTTTGGTGGCTGGTAAAGATGAAAGAGAACCAAGAAATCCACCAAGTGGTGTGCGTGCAACACCAACAATACATACATCTGTTCATGCAAAACCAAGGTGTAAGTTAATGGAAACATCAGACATGAGATTGCTTGATTTTATTTCATGTCAAAGCTATAATTTTCCAAGTGCAAAAAATGCACAAGGTAACTACTTTCTTAAACAGAATACTGTATGATCTTCTTAAGTAGCTATTACCAAAAGTTTTAGTGGATAGGACATATGTTATAAAATTCATTTTTTCCCCTCAATCAACAACAATTTCAGACATAGATTCGCCAAAATTTAAGTGTAACTTTTTGTAACACATGGTTTTACTGAGATAAAGATGTAAGATAGTGTATTATACATATATATGTGGAAATCATGTTTTGCTTTGATAATGATAATCAAACAAATTGTCTGGGTGAGTAGATAGCTGATTCTTATTCTGGGAAACAAATCGACTAAAATCTTCCTAATATAAGAACTATAATAAAATTTAAATGCAAGAATAATAAACTTACCTCTAGGCTTGATCTTATCAGAACCATCCGATGCCGCAGCTGGAGCCATCACAATGTGTAATAGGATATCTGTTTTACATTTACGTAAAAGAATTCAGATTTCAAGTCAAAGAAAATCAAGTACATATGTCAAATTAGACATGTTTCTCTTTCTCATCCGCCAACGAGTAAATCTTATTGCTTAACAGTCAAATCGATGATTCTCTTTTCAAACTACCCTGGAATGATTCCGATTCGTACTTATCAATTAAATACTACGTTTCACAAATCAATAACCTAAGCTAACAGATCGACTCGAAAAGAAATCCTCAATCATCCCACAATAGATCCATGTAGAGAAGAATCGGATAAATCGTGATTTTTTCTAACAAAAAGACACATGGAGCATGAAATTTTCGACATGAATTGTAGTATGAGAAAAGAAATCGATTATACGATAGGAAAGTACCTTCGAAATCGGAATGCTCTGCAGCAGGTAGCACTGTGTGTTGTGTGAGTGAGTGAGGAAGAGATGCAGGTGGTTCGGAGAAATCGGAGTGAAAGCACTGCTTATTAATATGGTGTTGGAAGACAGGTAGGTGAGGAAGGCGGCACACGATTGTAGCCTATATCAGCTATTTTAATTACCTGACCTTATTGACTATTTGACTTCAATATTATCTCATTATACAATGAGAATACTACATGAGATTCATCTATAAAAACTAGATATTATGTTATCAAAATTAAAAATTAATTGGTAATGGAGGTTGTAAATTTATTTATATGGAAGTGTTCATAAAACTATTTGTTAGCATATTCTTAAATATAAAATTATGTATAGTTCAAAGCTTCTAAAATCTAAAAACTTTCAAAAACTATTTGAAATTGTTTTTAGATTATTTTTATCTAAAAGAAATTAAATATTCTTCTTTGTTTCTATCTAAATTCTTACTCATATAAAATAATATCATGTAGAGTCCATTAATTTTTTTTTTTTGAATTTCCTCTTTTAATCTAATAAACAGAAAGAATGATAAGAACAAAATATAGAAGGTTTATGATTATTATGATTTGTAAATTGTAATCATATTCAACACCAATTATATATACAAAACACAAAAAAATAGTAATATATGTTTTTTACTTAGTGCCACAACACTAAAGAATTATGTATTTTAATTCGAACTTATGTTATCATCTAACTCAATCAATATGCTTATTAACAACATGTAGTATAAACTAACCCACGATTAAATTGTATCAAATTTAAGAAGATAATCAACAAAAAATCACTAATGATATATTAGATGTATTTTTAATGCGTCATTAAAACGTCTATTATATATAAGATTGATAATTTTGATGTTGCACTACACGTTTTCTCTATCATTCTTATATAAAAACCTTATTTTCATATTAAAACTATAATTAAATAAATAAATAAATAAATAAATAAATAAACATTTTCCTTTTGTGGTGGAAAGTTTATTATATAATTTTCTAGCGGCCTCTTGTTGAAAAGGTGTAATCACAAGTGGGGTTTCTGTTGTTCCAATTCATGTTCGTGTGATGCAAGGTTACATTTAAAATAAATAATCGACTAAATGATTCATATAATCATATTCTATATAATTATTTTCATAATACATACATTAAATAACATATGGTTTATAAAAATAAATGATGCGCGGAAGGTTTTAGCCATTATAACTTTATGTTTACATTCATAATATTTTAAAATATTGGTGATCTGTTTTAAAATAATATAAATTGTATATAGTAACTGTCGATAGGAAAGGAAATCCAAAATGTTGTTTCATTCGATGGGTTCTGATTGGGAAGAATCTGGTCAACTTCGGATGACCCTAAAACATTTGTCAATGGATGCCTCTTCTTGACCTTTTTATGCCCAAAATATCATATCTATCTTTTATTTTTTTTAGAATAGTTTTCTATGTCTAAGATATCACATCTACCTTTTATTTTTATTCTTAGAACAGCTGGATTTAAAAAAATAATAATAATAAAAATAAAATAAATAAATAAATCATAGTAAGAAGCTAAAGCCGAAATGAAACCGTTACATCACGGTGTTTAAAATGAGATTTTAAAGCCATAAATTCCATTGAATAGAGAATTTGTGTTTTCAATGCACCATCCAATTAAAAGAAAAGACAACAATATCATCAAACAACTTATCTTCTCTAGGGCTCGTTTGGTCAAACACACTTATTTCTAAAGTTTCAAAGAGTTCTCCAAGTTCTACAAATAAGAGCTTCCAATATTGTCTTCCTATTCATATTTAATTGAACGGACTCCAAGAACGAAGACAACCCATCTATTGAATTTAAAAAAGACATATCAAGATCACACCATCGACTGAGTTGCTGAATGAATCAGAGCTTTGGCAACCAAACACTCAAGAAAAAGGTGATTAACACTCTCCACTTGATCTATGCAAATCGGACATAGAGAACTAGGAACATCGATACCTCTAGAAATAAGGTTGTCTTTAGTAGGAAGACGATTTAAAGAGGCTCTCCAACTAAATGTATTTACTTTGAGTGGTACCAATCTATTCCATCTCGTTTCACCCGAATCATGCGGTAACATTAAGTTGTTAATAACCTCTCGCGTATCTTTCACTGGAAACTCAACATTATTATCCAAATTCCACACCGAATAATCTTTAGAATCCTGAAACTGGATATTACCTAATAAGTCTATCATTACAGAAAATTGAGAAAGTTGAGCACCTCCTTTTGGATCATATCTCCAATGCAACTGTTAGTTATTATCTTGTTTTACCGTGACGCCTACAACAGAACAATTAAAATTAACATCCAAAGCAGTTTATCTAGGAAACAACTTGATCAGGAGAACATTCTGAAAACATAAATACTTGTATATAGATGTAGGCTCCGTTGAGATTCAAAATTAAATAAAAATCTTGAGATTCAATCTCAACCACATAATTCACATTTGTCGCTTTAACCCTCAGACGTATCGACATAATGGGTCAGTTATAAACTTATAATCATAAATGATTATATATCATCATTCGTTACTTTCACCTCCGCCGCCTTCTCCACCACCTCTACTACCAACCGACCATTATACATCTGTCACTTATACCACCATCAACACCTCTTCTGCCACCAATTGTTATAATCATATATTCATATATTATTATTTAATATGTGAACACACACACACACACACACACATATATATATATATATAATCATTTATGATTAGGCATATATGTATAAACATATATAATCATATATGATTAGATATACATTGCTGCTATCGGTACGTTGAAGCGTTAGAGCGTTAAATGTGAAATCTGTGGTTGAGGTTGAATCTCAAAATCTCTATTTTCTTTAATCTCAAGTGAACCAGTCTACATAAATGTTATAATGAATACGAATGATTGATGATAATACGAATGATTGATGATCTAACTATTCAATTTTTACATGTGAATTCGAGTCGATATTCAAATATACGCATGCCTTTTTTAGAATGATAATACGGTCATTTGATATTCACATGTGAATATGAGTAATCCACTTGATTTTTCTTAATCGGTTTATCGATCTAGAAAAATATTCATGTACATGTGAATATTTACTCAGTCACATATAACATTGGTTATTTACAAGTGAATTAACATCTATAAAAAATAGGTATAGTTTAAATTCACATTGTGAGTGTCAACAAATTAAAATAAAAATAAAAAATAAATATAAAAGTAAATATAAATAAATAAAATAAAAACTGTATTTTATGTATCAATATAATGTCTATTTATAGATAACAAAATGTGCAAATTTTGCTATATTCATTTATTTCCAGATAAATATAAAACCTTAAAAAAAAAAAAACAAAAAATAGTGCTTTACTTATCTTAAGGAACGTCAAATAATTACGAAAGTTGGTTACAAGAATTAGATATTCACTAAATTACTATTTTCCTTGATTAATAGCGAATTACCTTGTGAGATCAAAATAAGCAGGTGGATGAGATTGGTTTTACTGGTTTCTTAAAAGATTTTGGTTTCTTATTGAATATCGGAACATTACAGCTACAAGAAGACATGTGTCGATGTTATGTATGATGATTTTTAAATATTTAGAAAAAAAATGGTTTTAAATGTTTAGTTGATATTATGATACCAATTATACTAGTATATGATTGTTTATTAGACAACTTTTAAAACGTGGATGATTTTATTACGTCACACTTAAAAAACAACTCACGTTTCAATGATAGCACCCTCTTAAAAAATGTGTTGCATATGTAGTTAAAGTGTTTTACAAAGTTATATCAATGTACTTTATTTGTACCCATAATAGCAATATACTGGTAATTTTTACTCATAATAGCAACGTATTTACATTTTGGCTACCATTATTCTCATTATCAATAAAGAAATGCTATTGTGAGCACGTTGCTATTATATGTAAAGAAATGTAAGTATGCTGATACAATGAGTTACACATTGTTATGATTGGTGGGGTAAAGAAATGTAATTACATAGTTATATTGGGTAAAACTAAATACATTTATATTGGTAAAAAAAAAAGTAAAGGGACTTTTATATTGTATCCGTTTGCAGTTGAGCTTTACTTTCTTTTCTATACAGCTATGTATACAAATAATACATGTGTTGGAAAAAAATGCTATTTAGGCACTTAAATTGGGAACCTAAATAATGTTCCTAAATTTAAATCATCTTTTCAAATTTATCAAGCTTCTTCACCCTTTGCATTGACCTAATAAGTAATGCTAGAAAAACACCTGCATTCATATAATTTGTTAATATTCATCACCTAGAAAATAAAGTCCCAACTTAAAAACAAGAGTTAATTACATTTTTGGTCCTTGATTATAACTGATTTTGAAATTCTGGTCCTTATTTGAGGTTCTTGTAGATTGTTTTAGTCCTTGAGTATAACTGATTTTTTTAAATTCGGTCCTTATTTAAGATTCTTGTAACATTTTTGGTCCTTGACTATAGCTGATTTTTGCAAATTTAGTCCTTGAGGTTCTTGTAACATTTTTGGTACCTAGGTATAACTGATTTTTGCAACATTTTTGGTCCTTAAGTACTACTGGTTGTTACAATTTTGGTCCTTTTTGAGGTTCTTGTAACATTTTTGGTCACTTTTCCCAAGTGAAATATAGTCATTTCACATGGAATAGTGACCAAAAACGTTACACAAACCTCAAATAAGGACCACGATTGCAAGATGAAACTTTTAAAGACCAAAATGAAAAAAATAGCTTACCTCAAGGACTAAAAATGTAATTTACTCTAAAAAAATTTATATCACTCACCAGCAGCAATAAATGACCCATTTGCTATAAGTTGGTTGCCTTGAGTGGTCATTGTGAGACCAATATTTACAAGTGTACCCCCGAGAACCGTATACAGGGTTCCCATTTGCAATATTGTTGCCTTCCTAGCTGCTCTCTCAGACTAATAAACATTTTAAAATATTAAAATAAGTATAAGAAAAATTGATATTATGGGGTAGAATAAGGTAAAAAAAATAATGTAAAGTATACCTCGAGAACTCTGACACGAAGTTTAAGGTCTCCTGATTCTAGTTGTTTTACAAACTCTTCGATTCGTTGAACTCTATAAGGCATTGACATGGTGTATGATCTTGCCTGAAATTTTTTTAGAAACATTTAAACATTTTATATTTTTAATATTTTTATTTAAGGGAAAATGGTGAAAGATATATATATATATATTTTACATCATCCGCTTGTTTTCGTATCTCTTGTACAAGTTGTGTCCCACTACGCTGTTGTTTGAGATCTAATAGCTCCTGTAAGTCATTTAAAAATGTGATGTTAGAGGACACAGATTTAAATATTTTTAATTAGTTTTTATTTTAATAAGAAGAAACATCCCCTTAGAAAAATATCTAACCTGTGCATAAGGTGCAGCAATCTTGACAAATGAAAAATCTGGATCCAGTGAGTAGCCGATTCCTATGAGACATAATTATAAGTAGTCAGATTATATTGTGTATATATATATATATATATATATATATTAGTGTGTGTGTGTGTGTGTAGAAAGAGAGAGGAAGGTGACCTTCAAGAGTGGAAAAAGCCCTAATCACAAATGTGAAGTTTGATGGGAACCGGAAAGGTTGATCTGTGGCAATGGAAAATAACTCCTGCGAGCAAATCATGACATTATCAAAAAAGTCTAGTTGCATTAAACTTGTGAAATTACGTTTTAGCCCATCGAGGAAAGTTAAAAGTAATTGTAAAAGTGCATGAAACAGCATACCTCGCCTATTGCAGCCAAAGTTGTTTGCTGATCTGGTGACTGGTTTAAAGAATTATCCAAAAAGAACTGAACAGATCTTCTCACCTATGATTGAAATATACAATCAGGTATTAAAAGTTAGAACATAAGACACTGAAATTTGAGTTAATTACATTTTTGTCCCATGTATAGCTGATTTTTGCAATTTTGATCCCATAAAGTTTTCTCATCTGGTTTTGGTCCTTATTTGTGGTTTTTGTAACTTTTTTGGTTCTTGTTCTGATAAAGTGAAAATGGACCAAAAATATTACAAAAACCATAAATAAAGACCAAAATTGCAAGAGAAATCTTTTTGGTACATACTCAAGGACCAAAAATGTAATTCACTCTCAAAAACTTTAACGGGTAAATTAATTACAAATATGGTCCCTCTATTTTCTGAAGTTTCACCATGTTTAGTCCAAATTTGAAACCTTTTGCAGTTTTAATCCTTGTTTCAAGGTTCCAGGGACCAAAATTGATATGAAACCTTGAAATAAGGACCAAAATTGAAAAAAAGTGTCATTTTTGGAGTAAACACGGTAAAATGATAAAACACAGGAACTATTTCTGTAATTTACTCAATTTTGAATGATAAGATACTATTTTACATACTGATGACATGTCTCCAGTAGGTTGAAGTGCTTCAAGACTTATCAAACTGTTCATAACCTGCAAAAACAACAATAAAAGATGCTATTTTTAAGCTAATCAAATTCCAAGTACTTATTGTATTGAAACACCTAAAATAATAAAAAAAAAAGTTTTTAGACCTTTTTTGCATCTTTTTCATAAACTGCATAAAAAAGATCCATCAATCTTTCTCTAGTGAAGGATTTAATCTCCCCCATCATGCCAAAATCATAGTAGATTAGTGATTCATCTGAGTCAATTGCAAGATTTCCAGGGTGAGGATCAGCATGAAAGAAACCAGTTTTCAGTATCTGCATATAGAATTGACAAAATTTAATAAAACTGATTTGAAAAAGAAAAAAGACTTTTGTTAATCAGTAAATATGAATTCTGACAGATGATGGATAAAGAGGCAGATTATTAAACCTGAATCAAGTATGCTTCAATGGCATGTGAAGAGATTTGAGATCGACTGTAACCCCTTTCTTTTATCAAATCCAAATTATTAATCTTAATTCCTGTTTAACATAAATTTAATTATGGTAAGTAACTATATGGCTCTTTGGAAATAAATAACAGATTAAATAAACCAAAATAATAATAGAGTTCAGATTGAAACCTGGTACATACTCCAAAGTTAGCACCTTTGTTGCAGTATAATCCCAGAATACTTGCTGCATGACAACAATCACAATTAAATTATATCATAATGCATAAAATTCCATGATATATATATTTTTTTCTTGATGTTTATTACAATAAAACAAAAAAGGAAAGGGCTCCAGGAAGAAACATACAGGCACTCGGACCCACTTAACATTACGAAAATCCCTACGAAATTTATCAGCATTTTTCCCTTCGTTTATATAATCAATCTCCTCATACAAGATCCTGCAAAAAATCAACTTAGTAAATGACCATTTTATCCTTATGTGTATAGAAATGATGGTAGATATGAACATCAGACAAAATCTTCAGTATTATCATGGAATGCATACTTACTTGGCACATTCATCATAGATGCCTATCCAGTCTCTTGTTGGACCACCAAGACTTTCACTCCTTTGAAAATACTCAGCCACCAGCTTTAAATTCTCTGAATGAAAAAAAAAAGGGTATTTATGATAAAAACTAAGAACTGAAAAACTGTAGGTAAATATGTAAGAGGGATACTCACTTAAATCTATGTCAAAAAGTTTCTTCAAACCAGGTCTTTGAACTTTAACAACCACTTTCTCTCCATTATGTAATATTGCACGATGTACCTAAACCAAAAAATTTCATGAGGTCCATATTAAGATAATTTAATCAGATTTAAAAAGAAATGATAGAAAGATAGACTTCACCTGACCAAGACTAGCAGCTGCAATTGGTCTTTCTTCAAACTCCTTAAAGATTATATGAACAGGAGCTCCCAATTCTTTTTCAATAAAACCTTTCGCTTTTGCTGGTGAGAAAGCTGGTACTCTGTCCTGAATCATATGATTGCCATATTTAACAAAAAACATCAGAATCATCATTTTAACCTTTGATGTAATCTAGAAGTTTATATTTACAGAAGGGAAACTATACCTGTAATTTAGCAAGCTCATCGACAAATTCACGTGGAAATAGATCTGATCTTGTTGAAGATAACTGCCCGAGTTTTATAAAAGTTGGGCCAAGTTGAAGCACACTCTCTCTTAACCATGAAGCTGTTTTTCTTCTTCTGTTTTTCTAAATATGTATATAGCAGTTAGTAAAAGGATGATAACAGAAACTAAGGGGATGATTCTTTTTTACTTAATGGGGGACAAAAGAAACAGCTATATTCAGATATAACTATACAAACCTGTTTTTCTTCTGTGAAGCCTCCAGGATATGCCCATTTTGCATTGTCCAATAGAACACGAACACGCAAAGAAAGAACAAAAGACCAAACATCTATTGATCTTTGCACCGAATTATAATTTTCATTTGCCCAGCTGAAACTTTCATCTGATGGCAACACCTTTAATTCTTCAGAGGGTGGAAATCCTGTGGGTTCTTTAACTTTTACTGACTTAACTAGTGCTGGAGTGGTCTCTCTCTTAACAAGACTTGTTCCATTAACAATTGGTGCTGATCGTGATCCATTCACTAATCCTGATGTTTGTTTGGATGGAGTCTTGTTGTTTACAAGTTCACTGGTGGAAACCATGGTGACTGGTTTACCATTGGAACCCAACTTTACAGGCTTACCATTGGTGTCCAAATTTACTGGTTTACCATTGGCACCCAACTTCACAGTTTGACCATTTGTAACCAACTTTACAGGTCGACCGTTGGTACCAAATTTCATGGGCGATTCTGTCTGCTGCATCTTAACATGGAATTTGCGAAACCTTTCAGTTTTATGTGAAGCACAGTCATGGCGATCCAATTTCCGGATAGAAAGAGCTCTTGAGAAGCTGAGATTTTCAGCTGTTCTTCCTTGATTTACCAATTGCACATCACGGCAATAGCAGCTATTAGAAGCCAGTATTGCCGCCATTTAAGAAGAAACACACCTGAAGTTTTACATATTTGTGAGCCAAAGAGAAAACCTAACTTGCATATCCAACTCGAATTAAAGCAATATATCGTACATAGCACAACCAGAGAACAAGTTAATCACTTGCTTTGACCTTTTCGATATATGAATCATATCAATTAAGAAATTCAAACAATAGTAAAAAAACATATAGAATTGATTCACGAATCAATCTGAACAAGCGAGAATATGCTACATAAACACATCCGAGAGAAGCTGAAATTGAAATTGAAACTGACGATGCTTACAGAGTAAATTGACGAAGGAGATTCAGATAAAGATCGTCAAGGTTCTGAATCAAGCGTAGTGATGACAAAATATCAAGAAGTAGTCAAGTAGATATAGACAGAGCAAGCAACTAAATCAAGGAAGTACGAAGCATGTAACGTGCAGACTGCTACCTTCAGTTTCTACTTTTTCATCAATGTTTGATACTGCATAGCGACAAATAGCGATGACGAATCTCTTCATGATCTGTTCGTTTAACAACCGCAGCACCAAATTTTTACGCTTGAATATTCTGATTGGTGGGAGTAATCCGCCATTTGTGTCTCCTATTCATTGGCTAACCATTGCATTACGTGTCTTTCTCAATCCCCCACACTCCCATATTTTCTCTTTATTTATTTTTATATTTTAGTAAACAAAGAATTTTTGACCACAATAGTGTTAAAAAAAATATCTACTGTATGGTTTTGAAAGTATTTACCAAAACAAGGTTATTTACATTTAGTAAAAAAAAAAAAAAAAAATCAATTGTGCCCTACTTTCATCTTTTCCTCTTCACTGGACGACACAATAAATAGGGAAGAAAATATGAACACACAATCGTCTCTCCGATCTCATATTTGTCTCTGGCCATTGATACGAACAACCTCTTCGGGGGTGTTTGAGATTAGTTTTTGATGTTAAAAGTCCTTTTGTTAAAAGACTTTTTGGCTAGTGATATTTTTCAAAAGATAATTTTAAAAATATGTTTGTATTTGCTTTTAAGGTAAAAGTTATCTTTCATGTTAAAAAGTCTTAAAATCATAAAAAGATAGGATTTTTTGACTTTTGAAACACTAAGGTTGCGTTTAGTTACGGAAAAACAATTTTCATTTTCCGTTTTTTGTTTTCCCTTTTCAATTTTCATTTTCCGTTTTCATTTTTCATTGAAAAATTTAGAGAACGCGTTTAGTTAAACTTATTCATTTTTCATTTTCAGTTTTAGAAAATTAGAAAACGTGTTTAGATGTCTATTTTTCTATCGGTTTTCATTTTTAAAAAATAGTAGTGGTAGTAGGGTGTGGGTGGGGGCGGTGACGGTAGCGGGTCGGCGACGGTGGTGATGATGACAGGCGATGGTGGTGGCGGCGTCAATTTTGTCAGTGGTGGTGATGGTGGTGGTGCTAGTGACGGGTTAGTTGTGGTGGTGGTGATGGTAGGTCAGTGATTGTTGTGGTGGTGTTGGGTGGGTGGGGGTGCGAGTGTGTGTTTGTGTGTGTATGTGTTTGTTCGGGTAGGTGTAGGTTTATGTGTGTGTGGGTGTGTGTGTCTGTGAGGGTGAGGGTAGGTGTGGGTGTATGGGTATGTATGTGTGTGTGTGTGGGGGTGTGTATGTATGTCTGTATGTGTGTGTTTGTGGGTGGGTGGGTATGTATGTGTATGTGTGTGTGTTTGTGTGTGTGTGTGGGGGGGGGGGGTGGGTAGGTATGTATGTGTATGTGTGTGTGTGTGTTTGTGGGTGGGTGTGTGGGTATGTATGTGTAAGTGTATGTGTTTGTGGGTGGGTGTGTAGGTATGTATGTGTAAGTGTGTGTGTTTGTGGGTGTGTGTGTGTGGATGGATATGTATGTGTGTGAGTTGGTGTGTGTGTGTGTGCGGGTGGGTGTGTGTGGGTGGGTGGGTATGTATGTGTGTGTGGGGGGGTATGTATGTGTGTGTGGGTTGGTGTGTGTGTGTGTGTGTTTGTGGGTTGGTGTGTGTGTGTGTGGGGGTGGGTGTGTGTGGGTGGGTGGGTATGTATGTGTGTGTGTGGGTTGGTGTGTGTGTGGGGGGTATGTATGTGTGTGTGGGTTGGTGTGTGTGTGTGTGTGAGTGGGTATGTATTTGTGTGTGTTTGTGGGTTGGTGTGTGTGTGCGGGTGTGTGTGTGTGGGTGGGTATGTATGTGTGTGTGGGGGTGGGAGGTGTTAAGGTGGGGGTAGGTAGAAGTGGATGGGGTGAAGTGGGTGTGTGTTTATAGAAAAATTTTGGAATTAGAAAAATATGGAAAACAATGATTATCAGTTTTCCAAAATTTTCCAACTTCTTTGTAATTTTAGAAAACGAAAAATTTTCATTTTCCGTGAAAAATTTAGAAAAATAGACGAACTAAACGTGTTTTCAAAATTCTCATTTTTCTTGGAAAATTTTTCCGGAAAACGGCCTATTTTTCTGCAACTAAACGCACCCTAACCTTTTCTCATATATAAAAAGTTATTTTAAAAGATCTTTTGCATTACTCAAACATCTTTTAGCAATTTTTTAACTTTTTGGAAAAGTTAAAAGACAAAAGTTGTTTTAAAAAGCAATCTCAAACACCCCCCTTGACCTCCGTCCACACACTTGAATGATACAAGCTACAACGGGAAAAGGTATGAACCACACCAACGTTTTCCATCTCCGGCCGCACTTGTATCTTCAGCCACAACTTCAATGACCATTCCATCTCCGCCCACACCATACGGTGGCAATTCCACCTCCGTCCACTCCTCCAATCGGAGATTCCATTTCAGGTTCGATTTTGAACTCTATCTCAACTTTGATTATAATATTTTTATCGTCGATTTATGCCTTTTTTTAGGCATATTGAATATATATTTTTGAAATTTCATCTTCATTCTACCAGGTTTTTACTTTAAATTACAATTTTAAACTTTCTTGTCTGTATATAGTCTACATTGAACTTGCTTAGTTTAGATATCAGAATTTGAGTTTGAGTTTTTGATTATATATTATTGATGTCGTTTTTTGATTGTTGATCTTGTCTGATGTTGTGTTTTGATTGTTGATGTTGTCGAAATTTACATTGAACTTGCTTAGGTCAAATTTCAGAATTTGAGTTTGAGTTTTTGATTGTAGATTAATGATGTTAGTTTTTTTATTGTTGATCTTGTCTAATGTGTTTTGATTGCTCATATTGTTTTGCTTGATTTATGATTACATATTAGTGATGGTGTCATAGAAATTTACATATTGCTGATGTTTTTTGATTGCTTCAATGTTGTCCATGTCTAGTTTCTGAATCTAAGTTTGAGTTTTTTATTATAACTAATGACATGTTTCTGCTTTTTTATGTTGTTTTTGGTACGTGGATGCTAATGTCAAATCTGAACAATGAGGATTTCTATGCAATCTTTCAAATTGTTGTGAGCAATGCAATAACAAGTAACAATGAAGTTAGGATGGCATCGAGAAGAAAATGATGAAAAATCTTTTGACAAAAAATTTCAAGTACTTTTAGATATTGGTCACCGAATGAGCTATTCCAAATGTTTATTATTTTCTTTTGTTTTTTGTAAGTTGGGATTATAAGAATTAGTTTTATTTTAAGATTATGATTGTTGGTTTTATTTTAAAATGATGTTTGTACTTTGTTGGTTTAAATTCAAAAAATTCTTTGTTGGTTTTTGCAAGAAACCATTGTTGGTAGGGCTGTGCATGGATCGGTTTTGGATCCCAACCCAACCCAACCCATAAATGATCGGTTTTTGGTTTTCAGAACCCAATAAGATCGGTTTTTTGTCGGTTCGGTTTCTCAGGTTCTGATATCGGTTTGGGCGGTTTCTCGGTTTCTTGGGTTCAACCCATACACTTACGGTATCTGGGCTTAAACCCATGGGTTTTGGGTTTAATCCCATTTTCCAGAAATAGAGCAATAAGTTAAATAATTCAAAAAAAAAACACATAGTTGAAGTTAAATACTTCAAAAAACATGAGTTTTACAACCAAATTGTCTATTACAACCAAACACACAATCAAACTAAAACACGAAGTCCAAAATTGCCGATTAGACGATTACAACCAAACACACAATCAAACTAAAACACAAAGTCCAGAATAGTTAAATAGTCGATTACAACCAAAATACGCAAACATGAATCTTCAATCCACATCCATGTAAATCTCTTCACCAATTCCTTATTCATCTACAAACCAAAAAACATTAGTATTGATCAATGATGATTGAGTAATAAAATGTTGACATACCCAAGATACTATATGACCACCACCCTTATTATCTGCAACTTCATCATCTCCTTCATCAACATTAAGATCAACATCAACATTTTGTGGAGCATCAACAACAGTTTGTGCAACTAGTTGAGACATTTCCATCTACATAGAAAAAAATGCAATCAATAACAACAGTTTCTAACATTATAAAAAAGTTAGGTTTTTAGGTGATACAGGAACAATATTTCAGCATCAAAATGACAGAATCCATAATCAAACAGCCAAAATCGGTTTAATAATTTCATAATCAAAAAAATTATGTTTAGGTCGATGTAGAAGAGTCGACACTCGACCGTTTCCTGCCATTCCAAAATAGTGTACTAATTTCATAAATTGAACAAATATTTCAACAAAGCAACATTAACACTTGGTTGTTTGGGGATGAACATGTAATCTAATAGCAGCAAAGCAACACACAAATTGACAATTGCAACCAAGAAGTGAGAAACTAAAAAGCTAGAATGGAGAAATTTGAAAACGAACCTGAGAAGCGAGAAGGAATCGTCGGAGGCGTAGCGGGGTAGCAGCTTTGGAACTTGGAAGGGTGGTGTCGGCGGTTTGGGAACGGGGTTGAGCTCGTCGGGTACTTGCGTCTTTGGCTTCAATCGGGGGAGGGGAGATGAGAAACGGCGCTAAGTGAGAAAATGATAAGTGAATTCGATTTACAGATTACGTCAGATTTAGGGTTGTAATATGAAATATTGTGTTTTTTTTAATATGTACATGGTTCGATTTTACGGGTTTAGTGGGTCGGTTTCTATGTAAAAACTGAAACCGAACCCAATTTTTCGGTTTTTAAAAAATTTAAACCCTAACCGTCAGTTTTGCTTCGGTTTCGGTTTTTTCGGTTCCCGTTTTGTCGGTTTTAGTCGGTTTTCCGGTTTCTTGATTTGGGTTTGCTCACCCCTAATAGTTGGTTTACATCACGATAAATTGATGGGTGTAATTGTGACTGTAAAAAGAACTGATAAACATTATTAGTAAAAAGTTATAAAAAGAAAGATATATTAAGAAACAGTAACAATAGTAATAAAAAAAACTAAAAGTATTAAATAAATATGAAATTTTGAAACTACACCTATTTGGTAAATATTTTAAAAACTATACCTATATGGTAAATACTTTTTAAAAACACCATATTTTCTCTTTATGTATTTTTATATTTTAGTAAACTTATTTTTGACAAAATTGTAAAAATGGTTTCTGTAGTATGTAATTTTATTTTTTTGGTTTTGATCCAAACCTCAATTTTTTTGGATTGGTGGTCAATTTGAACAGGTTTGTATGTGGTTTTGGTCTAAGGATGTCAAAAAGACGCGTACAACCTTGTTCCCGTGGGCCCCATCCAGTTTGGGGATATTTATTAAAAAATCGAGGATGGGGGCAAGATTAACCCTCGTTTTAATTTCGAGGGCGGTGGCAAAGATGGACAATCTCGTCCCGAAACCCCCATGGGGTCCCGTTAATAAATTATACATATATTTATATATATTAATTATATAAATATAATATGTCACACCCCCGAGCCAGACGGCAGAAACGTCCGGGGGCTTTTGTGTGACTTCATCTTGAAATATCATCACAATGAACATAAATGAAACATAACACCATCATTACCATGCATAAAATAATACAACTGTCATTGTTTACATCAAGTACAATATTTTAAGTTACATGATCAAAGCGTTAAATGTATGATAATAACAAAATACAATAAATTTCACATTCTCTGCTGACCTTCCACTTAACATTTTCATGAGAATACAAGTTATTTTGAAAATGTCAACATAAATAATGTTGGTGAGTTCATAAGCATATTTGCATAAAAGTTTTTGCATGGTTGGTAAAACACCAAAAAATCCGATATTTTCTGAAAAATGATTTGTTAGTAATGGGACGAAAGCAGGTATTAATGCATGTGTGTCTGTTTTTAGAAATGTATATGAATTTTGGTCCAGAAAATTCTGTAATTTCTGTCGTAAGTAAGAGTAATGTGTAAATGTATTCATCCCAGAAAATCCGATATTTTCTACTTTCAAGAGTATTGTAGTCGTGAATTCCCAAAACCGAGTGTCGATGTATGCTTTTAGTGTCGTCAAGATTTGTATAAGTATACCGAAATCTTTGTTGGAATTAATCTCTAAGTGAGGCGTTACAACCATGCTTGATAATGACTAGTTCGTCTGTCTTGGCGTTTTCTGGCGCCGATCTGATTAAGGTAAGGTTTGTCGCCCTAGACTGGCCTAGTCTAGCTGTAGCGAACAACTAAGGCGTGGGGGTGTCACCCCCGTATAGATCTATATACAACCTCTCGCTCTCCCTCCTAGAGACTCTGGTTATAACTACAAGCTACGATCATACACTCAAATGCGTCAACCGACAAGTCTAACTAGATCCTTAACTTGTTTACGAGTACTGTATCACACCATCTATAAGGTTTACGTATAGGTTTTAAGTTTCAAATCCAAAGTATGTAAGTGATTGTATGAAGTCCAACAGATATGTAACTGATATTTAAGGCCCACTAAACATATGCTTTTTAATATAAACCCAATTAGCATGTGGATGGACCACGAAGGCCCAATAAACATGTAAAAGGGTAATTCAGACCCTATAGACATGTAAACGAACCACTAAGGCCCAATAAACATGTGGTATATGGCTCAGGCCCAAATTAACATATAAATGGACCACAAAGGCCCAATAAACATGTCATGGAAATATTAGGCCCAATATACACTTAAATAGACCCTAAGGCCCATTAACCATGTAACGGGAGTATTAGGCCCAATAACATGTTATCGATGTATTCCGTCCATTTGTCGTTATTGCGTTTTTTTTGCACACAAAAAGGTCTAATTTATGTAATAGAGACATCATTGGCCCATTAGACTGAAATTATACAATTTTAGTCACCTTTTGGGAAAATTTGACACTTTAAATCCCTAAAACTTAAAAGTTTTCATTTTATGGACTTAATTCTTAATAAAATGACATATGCGGCCCATTTTGATTAGAAACTTCATTTTCGGCATATATATATATATATATATATATATATATATATATATATATATATATATATATATATATATATTTGATATTTTTGGCCCAAATATGAATATATTGATATTTTTGGCCCATTATTATAAGAATTTATATTTTCAGCCCATTTTTTATAGGTACGATAATTTCGGCCCAATCTTTATAAAAACAACATTTGTTAACCCATTTTTAAAAAGAATGGCATTTTCGGCCCAAATTTTGTAGAAATCGCATTTTACGCCTAAACTCAATAAAAGTGGCATTTTCAGCCCATAAATCCAAAGATTTACAATTTTGTCTCGAATTTGTATTAAAATACTATTTAGTCCTTAAAAATCGAGATTTTTACAAAATAAGCCCAAGAAAAACCGTAAAGCCCATACTAACGCCCATTTTGCAAGAATTTACACTTTTGGCCCTTTTTGAAAATTTTGATTATAATACCCATTTTTAAGCAAATATGAATCTTTTTAGTCTTTGTAATACCATAAATGACATAAAGGACTCAACTTTTTGTTTATTTGTCAAAAATGGTCCTTTTTCCAAATTTCATTTAGTTTCTCATGGATCTTCTCATTTTTAACACATTTATCTTTATAGTAAGTAGTATGAAATGTTCTAGTTTACAAATATCACTACTTTTGGTTAGAGATTTCGAGATATATAGCGTTTTCACACATAATCACATCAAAAATCAAGAAACATGCACATAACATGCATAACACTTAGATTTATCACATAGTAACTTAAGGGATTCGGGCACAGTTTCTGGACTCAAACCGAGGGAATAAAAGATTTTTCAAAGAAAACAGTTTCTAAAATCTTAAGTTAAAGAAATTTGAGAAAGGACAAGGTGTGTGATGCGTGCGATCGACCGAGCTCAAGTTAGTTTTCCCCAAGATACCCATACTTGTTATGTTATGTGCCTGATATATGATTCTGAGAACTGCATGTTAGATTCGGGATAAGGATCTAGGAGGATGTCTTGTATGCCTGATATATGATTATGAGAATTGTATACTAGAGTAGGGCTAAAGATCTAGGAGGATGCCTTGAATGCCTGTTGTATGAATTGTATGTTAGGCCCGTATGGCCAACAGTAGGATAACCTGATTAGGTTATGCCTGATGTGGTTACTCAATGCACGAATGCTGCTTGCTTTGTGCTTAAGGGGTCCTGGTTAACTTTAACTAACTAGTGGGCAGATATGTAACAGTATTCGCAAGCTAGTTAGGAAAGGGAAGTAGGGACTCTTAGTGCAGCTGATGGCAGATAGTAGGTCGGAGGGTGCCCTAGGAAATCCTAGGACGAGATTAGTGGGAAAGGGTATCATTAAAGGGACTTGGTGAAGTTGAAACAATCCTTGAGGCAAGTACGGATCGATATAGAGGGAAGTATGGTCCGATACTATTGGAAGCAGAGGATCCGTACTCGAGTCAAGGAGGTCCGAGATGGAACCAGGGAACTTGGAGAGTGTGTGAGACCTCTCGAGGGCATGTATGATCCTGAAATTTATGTGTTTATTTGCCGTAAGGCAATCACACAACATGGAGCGGGAAGTTCAGGATCAGGATTAGGATCAGGCTCAGGTGTAGGATATGAGCAGGTTGATGACAGGCTACACGAGTTCATCGCGTCTGAGATCATGAGAGGCACCCTTGAGTCGACCCTGGTTGTTTTCGGGTCGACCAAGGAAGGGATTGTTGAGCTGATGGAGGATCGTCTCTGAGCATTCAGGAGTGACTTAGCGTCCAAGCAGTAGGGTACGCGCACACTGTCCTTTAAGGACTTCAGAGGGAGTGGTGCGCCAGACTTTCATGAGGTGAAGGACCCCATTGTTGTCACGAGATAGATCGCAGACATTGAGTCTATGCAGTTGACGAGCTTCTACCCGGAAGGGTCGAAGGTCTACTTTGCTGCAGGGTGTCTGAGGGATAGAGCTAGAGACTGGTGGGAGTCGGTTGGTGACTCATTGGGAGTCTCATCCATTGAGGCTATGACGTGGTCAGATTTTGTGACCAAATTCATGACTGAGTTTGCACCGGCTGTAGAGCTTCAGCAGCAGGCCAGGGAGTTTTTAAATATGAGGCAGACAACTGAGTCAGTAGAGGAGATCACCACCAAGTTCATGGAGAGGACCCTGTTGGTACCCCAATATGCAAGGGATGAGGAGATGTGGAAGACCCACTAAGATGATATGTTGAGGGCTGATATTCGGGAGCATGTCAGCTGTTCAACCTGCCTGACCCTGGAGTCCATGATTGCTAGGGCGCTGGAGAGGGAGCTCGATTTGGAGCACGCCAGGAAGAGGAAAGCAGAGAATGAGCATGTGACAAAGGTTTTAGGGAAGAAACCAAAGGGATTCGACGTTAGGTCGAAGGGTTAGCCGGGCCAGAGCCGTTGCAGGAAATGTGGCAGACTTCATGAGGGAACTTGTAGAGCGGGATTGTCGGGCTGCGACAAGTGCGGTAAGACAGGGCACTTTGGCAGAGATTGTACTGCCCCCGCCCCCTCAGTGCAAATGTCAGACCTGATTTGCTTCCATTGCAATTATAGGGGTCATAAGAAGGCCAACTGTCTAAGATTGTCAGCAGGGACAGCAGCAGCGCCAGCGGTGGCACCGACCCCAACGTCAGCATGGGTTACAGATGGCCGGAAGGCCAAGGTAGAGGCTGCAGTGGTGCGAAGCCGAGCATTTCAGTTGACAGCCGAGGAGGCACACGCTGCACCCGATGTGGTGACGGGTACGATTTCTTTCTTATACTTTTATGTTATGGTATATCGTTGTGATTTTGATATATTATGTATGTGCTCTGTTTAGGATCGTTCCATGTGAACGGTATCCCAGTTCAGGTTTTGTTTGATTCAGGTGCTACCCGATCGTTTGTCTCTCTTATGCTTAGCAAGAAATTTCCCGAGTCTTCGGGCATGTTGGATTGCCCTCTAGAGGTCAAGATTGCGGATGACCAGTCAGTGCGAGCATCAGAGGTTTACCGAGATTGTCTTTTGAGGTTGTTTGAGGAGCATTACCCGGTAGATATGGTTCTCATACCTTTACGGGGGAACAAGGTTATTAGTGGTATGGATTAGCTA